CGGGGGGCGCGCCGTGCGGGCCGCCCCCCGCCGGGCCCCCGGGGCTGGGGCTGCGGGACCCGCTCGCTTCCGCCGCCACACTGCCCAGTCTGCTCACTGTCACACATACAAAATTAAATATAAAAATAATCCTTTTGCAAACCACGTTTAAATAAACTGACTTCTTTTTAAAGTGTGGGAGAGCCATGCTTCGGCACTGCTGGGCCGGCTCAATTCTCAAATTCGAACTCAAAATTCCCAATCCCCAAAACTCCGGTAACGCACTTGTAACGCCTGGTGTTCCAGGTGTCCATAGACGCCACCGATTGCTTACAGGTAAGGTTCAGGTGAGGAGAAAAGCTAGTAAAAAAACTTACGGTTATGGTGTGTAGGCGCTAGTTGTGCTCGCCCCCCCCGCTCCCCTCTCGTGTGGGGGAGTGTCGCGGGGGAACGCTGTCTGTGGGTAGGGGGCATCAACGAGGGATGCTGGGGGGGATGCTGAGGGTGTTGTTGTTGTTGTTGTTGAGGGTGTTGCTGGGAATGCGAGCCCCCTAATAGAAGGGGGGCCGCTCCCGGTGGTGCGCGGGACGACGAGTACGCTGGAATAACATAAAACAGTTGTTGATAACAATATTCATAACACATAGAATAGTTTGTAAAGAGAGATAGGATCATATTATAATGTTATTTCGTTTTAACAGTCAGACATTGTCATGCTTTTATGTATGCTCGCCATGGTTCGGCACCGCTGGGCCGACTCGACCGGAGTGATACCACCAACGACCAGAAAACCATAGTGAAATAACTACAGCGTTGCGAGTGAGGTTACATACCCAATTACCGCCCTCCCCAATCTCCCTTATCCCCGAATCCCTAACAATCCTCAAATTCCTATCCCCCTAAAGGCCGGTAACGCACTGGCAACGCTTCTGGTGTTCCAGCTGTCCATGGGCGATGCTGATTGCTTACCATCAGGTAATACGTTTGCTCGTTTACCGGCTTATACCATAAAAATGAACTTACAAGCCGCCGCATATATCCTCTATTGTATTATTAAAAATATAGATTTGAACTAGTCCAGTTACATCGTTAAAGTAGTTACATCATAAGTGAGTAGTAATTCATATCAAACCGTATTTCATCATATACAATTAGTTTTAAATTGGACAGTCCCCTCCCCCCTCCCACTCAGTATACGTACCCCTAATTACTACCTGTATACAATAGGGGACCGTATTATTAAACATATACATTTTAACTAGTCTACTTACATTGTTAAAAAGTTATGTCCCATATGTAAGTGTCCCATAATACCGCCATCACAGTTAGTTTTAAATTGGACACTCCCCCTTCCCCCTCCCCCCAGTATACGTACCCCTAATGACGGATAGTTCGATGGCAGCGCGCAGCTCGTCCTCGTCCGCGCGACTGCGGAGACAGGACATACCCTGGGGACATACATAATGAAATTATAATCCACAATACATATGGTTAAGTGAGTAAAAAAAATCGGGTACCAACTAGTCAAATTTCTTTCGAACGGTAAAAAACGACAGTCTTCTATGAATTTTGTACGAGATTGTGTATTGTGACGTCACGTTTTTTTAGCGTCAAACAGCATACTTATTTCTTAAAAATTTGCTGTCAAAATTCTAAAATGAAGTTAATTTAATATAAAGTTAATTAATGATAGTGTGATTATTTTTTAATATTTCATTGTATCGGACAGTCGAAATGATTTATTTTTGATTAACGCAAGTACCCAATTGTTACCTCGAAAATGTTCGACTAGTTTTGAGTTATGACGGAGCTTTTAATAAGCTGTGTATGCAGTTATATTGCATAGCTGAGTGAAGGCCCGCAGTTAAAGAGATATTTGATGAGTAGAATCAGTCGATTTTAGGACTACGTGTTTCATTAAAAAAAAAGCTAAATTGAATGAATCTGTTAAAATAAATGAGTAGTAAAAATAATGTAATACAACTGACCGGCGCATGTTCCCGCGAGTGTCGCGCATGCGCAGCCCCAGCGCGCGCCGCGCGGGAACCTGTACATACATCAATAAGTACACACACAGACAGACAGACAGACAAAAATATAAGTCATTTTCACAATATCCTAATTGTGCTCGTCCCCCCCGATCCCCCCTCCTGTGGGGGGATGTCCAGTTCCTATTGACATCAGACAACGACATTTTTAATGTTGAACATAGGATAAAGTGCATGTAGATGAATCGCAAAGAATTACGATTGTATAGTTAATTTTAATTAAAAGCCGAGTAATGTAGGAGAGTGTAACTGACCAGGTCTAGGAGTATGCGTGGCTCCGTCTCCCAGATCCAGCTGTAACACTCCGCCGCCGCTGTACTCTGTAATATTACGATAATCTTATAATAATAATAAAAAATATCAAACAGGCTGATATGATGATCCGATACGGAGCCGCGGAAGACTTAACGGGTAACCGGGGCTCCGGCTCGACGTGCAGGAGAAGGAACGGGGTGGTTTTTAGTCAGTAAGAGTCTGACACTCCCTCCCACCTCGCCCAGGCGGGAGCAGTCATTCGATGATTTTCCCCCCTCAAAAAAAGGCTGATATGATGATTAAATTTAAGTAAAATTATTCAAATTAGACCAATATAAGTCATATATAGTCTCTTAGTCAGGTGTAAGTTACCCGTGTGAAGAGTAAAGATGGTGACAAATGTACTCTAAGGTTATCTAACTATTGACCCTGGGGATGAGTTAGTGGGGTATCGCGGCTCCGGCTCTATGCAGGAGTTCGAACTGGGTGGATTTAGTAAGTAAAAGTCTGATACCCCCTCTCGCTTCTATCGGCGAAGCGTCACCGATCCATGGTGGATGTCCCACCCACACGCACGAAGCGCTTCGCATCAAGCTTCCTTGTGCGTACTGCTAAGGAGTGGAATTCTTCGTGCACCACCAGGCGAGGTAGTGGACAAACGTCGGCCCAGCAAATATATTAAAAAAAACTCAAGAGTGGGAGAAAATATTGGATGATTTCCCCCCCTAAAAAGTAGATGTAGGTGGTTACCCCAGGGCGGCGCGTGTCTGAAGTAGTCCCGTGCAGTGAGCAGGTGCGTGTTGGCGTTGGGGGCCATCGCCACGTCCGGCACCATGGCCGACAGCCGCGCCCCCGCCCCCGCCCCCGCCCCCACGCGCCCCCCGCCGCCCCGCTCGCACACCCCGACGTGCGACTGGAGCACGACGATAGAGATTGTCTGTGAAAGGATATTTTGTCACGTTAAAACTATATTTCGTTTTCGTCCCGCGACAAAACGACTTGCCATAAAGAGTACTCTGTTCTTCTACTATGAAGAAAAAAAAATAAAGACGTCAACTTTATATCAGTTTTAAAAAAATCATCGAAATACATACGAAATATAAGTGTGGGAGAGCCATGCTTCGGCTCGACCGGTGTGATACCACGGCCTCACAGAAAACCGACGTGAAGCAACGCTTGCGTTGTGTTTCGTCGTATGAGTGAGGTTACCGGCGGCCCAATTACCCTCCCCTTTCCCAAACTCCCTAATCCCCAAAAGGCCGGTAACGGACTTGTAACGCCTCTGGTATTCCAGGTGTCCATGTGCGACGCCGATTGCTTACCATCAGGTGATCCGTCTGCTCGTTCACCGTCTTATGCCATAAAAAAAATACGCACATGAAACCCTAGACGTAAATAATCTGCTAAAGAAGTGATATAAGAATATTTACCGATGCTGCGCAGTATCAGCGGATCTTGAAGCGCCCTCCCGCCTGCACGTCCCCGGCCGCGAGTTGTCTGTACAGTATACATCTTATTATATAAAGCTGTTTGTTTGTTTGAACGCGCTAATCTCCGTAACTACAAGTCTGATTTGAATAATTATTTTTGTGTTGGATAGCGCATTTATCGAGGACGGCTATAGGCTATAAAACATCAAACAAGTCATCCTCGACAAATGCGTTATCCAACACAAAAATAATTATTCAAATCAGACTTGTAGTTACGGAGATTAGCGCGTTTTTAGCGCTTTCTACTGTTTTTTGTTAGGCGAGTTGTTGTTTTTCAGTTTTTTGAGGTTGGCAACACTGATTGTATTGTGAACCCGATTGAAAAAGAGTAACCTATGGAGTTTCTTGCTCGTGCTTTTACATAGGAATCTACACTTTGGAATGAGCAACTAGCTTCACTTCTAAATTTTTTTTTTGTTGTTGACGTTCAAAATAGCTTTCCTGGTGTAATAGAAATAAATCATTTTGACTTTGACTTAGTAAATATCAAAATTGAAATATTGTAATGAGAGAATGAATAGTTGAACTCCCCAAACAGTGACGTACCGAGCGGTAGATGCAGCGCGGGCTGCGCGCGCAGACTGCCGCCCGCCGCGCCCGGCGCCGCCCTGCGGAGACAAGCACTCACGTACTACTATACTGTCCACTACTCACCAAAGGCAGAAGCTCACATGGAGAAGATTTGAACATTCATCACCACGCAACCTCAATGCGGGGGCGATTTCACACTTATAATTAATAAAAAACTTTTCACTATTTATATTACGAGTCCCGTGTAATAGGGGGTGAGCCTATTGCCATATACCGGGCACAATTCCAGACTCCGCGCTACTACTGAGCATATTTAAAAACCCAGTAATACTTTGTCCGACCCGGGAATCGAACCCGAGACCCCTTGCCCGGCAGTCGCACTTACGACCATTCGGCCAAAAAGGCAGTCTAGACGTAAATTAGTACGCACTATTCGCATCGCACGTGTCACCCGACGAGAAATACCACTTCGAGAATGACATGGCGCGATGTTTAGATAATGTACTGTGAGTTCGTGCGCTTTCGAAGTTTGCTTCATGCAATGGTTCACCAGTTGTTTTTTGTTTGTAAAATTATTGTATTACTGAGACAGAACCATTTTACTTCGGGACGAAAGGAAATACATTTCACGGTGTATATTTAAAATGATTGAAATCTATTATTAATATTGGCTTTAAGATATTCAGGTTGATCAGGGAGGACTGTTTGCTTATTGCTATCTGTTTGTGTGGGTGTAATATACCCACGGAAAGAGCAACAGTGGTAAATGTATCTAGAACAAAGTGGTACCTGCAGCAGTCGAGGTTGGGTTGGTCGTCAGGCCACCGGTCGGTGTCAGGTTCGACGTCCCGCTGCCTGCCTCGCTCGCTCCCGCCCTCGTTGGCAGACTCCCAGTCTTCTGTCTCTCTCTCCCTATAATATTAACAAAACATAATTCAATAATATTAACAAAATACTCTCCAGTTCGAATCCGGGGTCGCTTGGTTCGAATTACGGAACTCGTCACTGTACATTTAACACCCACTTTTCACTATTTACGTTACGAGGCCTATTGCCATATACCGGACACATTTCCAGACTACGTGCTTTTTTTACTATTATACTTTGCCCGTCGCGGAAATCGAAGGTGTAAGAGTGGGCGAGCCAGCTCTCGACCGGAGTGATACCACGACCTAGCAGAAAACCGACGTGAAGCAACGCTTGCGTTGTGTTTCGTCGTGTGAGGGAGGTTACTGGAGGCGCCCAATTACCCCCTCCCCCATCCCCCACAATCTCTAATAACCTAACCTAAAATAACTGGACTCTACTTATACATGCCTGTCGTTATCCATTTCAGCTAGCAGCAGATCTGCGCATGCGTCAGGCAGCGACATCTCACGGACGGCGCGCAATGCGATCTATGGACAAACAACAACATTCCGTTAATTCAAGTGTGGGAGAGCCATGCTTCGCCACTACTGGGCCGGTCGACCGGAGTGATACCACCAACGACCAGAAAACCGTAATAAAGCAACTCTTGCGTCGTTTGAGTGAGGTTAATGGAGGTCAAATTGTTTCCTCCCCAGTCTCCCCAATAAGGTAGATGCCTAATTTTTATTTTAACGTCCGTCTGGTAGATTATTTTACATCATGAGACACGTATTTTTTATTTTCTTACAGAAACGAATGCTTTCCACGATATATTGAATTGAAGTGTCGCGTGACGTCTCTTCTATGTACATTTTATACGTAGAAATTACGTTTTAGCCCCCACTCCTAAACTTTGATTCGTTTTATTTAAGTATTGTTTTATTATACGACAAAATAAAAAAATACGTGTCTTATATTTTTTCATTACCTTTATTAGATTCGATTTTTAATTTTCATACCCTGTCATCTCCCAATCCTCCGGTGTTTCGGGTGTCCATGGGCGATGCCGATTGCTTACCATCAGGTGATCTGTCATTTCATTTACCGGCTTATTCCATAAAGAAAACAATCCTCTTCAATCTTCAAGTGCTCATTACTGAGCAAATACCTACATTTGACCCTATTACAGTAGTCGCTAGCTACCTGCATCACTTGTGCATGTGGTATTTACCTGACGTTTTAACCAAAAGCTTCTTCTAACACGGAGAAGGTTTGAGCATTCATCACCACGCTCGCTCAATGCAGGTTAGCTATTTAAACTGTCAAACACCAAGCGGTCACCGGTGACCGCAACCTATTGTTCTATAATTGTGTCTACAAAACCGGTACTCGACGAGTTAAACTTATAATTCGAAATTATAAGTCAGGTTTCCTCACGATGTTTTCCTTCACCGTTTGTCAGTGGTGTCTAGATAATCTTAGACAGTACACATCACTCGGAAGAAGTTACATTGGTGCTTGCCGTTGGTAGGTTTCGAGTCCACACCCTTATGTATGAGAAGCGGGCGTCTTAAACCTACGGGCCACCACGGCTCTATTGACTAGGGACTAGGTAGCGACAGGGACCGTCACGTTCCCACGGAGACGCGTGTCTACGTGCGCGCGGACACGCGAGCCGAGACATTTCTGTAGAAGAAGTTTGGGAGATGGCCCGACCAGGGTGCTTACTCTTGAAACCAATCTCAATGTCAATGCAATTTTAATCCAATAAAATCTGAATAATTATTCAATGTCAAGCATTCAGAGTACGGAATATAAAGCCAAACTCAATATCATTTAGTTCATTCAATATCCACGCAATACGGATGCAATGGGCGCTAGTGTTGCGACTCAAGAATACGAAATTTCGCAATACCAATGTCGATCGATCGGAATTGGATTCAAGAATAAGACACCTGACCTTTTCACAATACGATGCCGTATTCAATCTAGCCATATTGTACGACATGAGTCCATTGCAGCTTTTTTTTTAATGGGGCGAAATCCTCATGGACTGCCTCCGCCTGGGGAAAAGCGGAGGGGTGTGCCGGACTCTTACCGGCAAAAACCACCCCAGTGTCTCCTCGCACGTGGTACATTGTAGCTGATCCAACTTCGTAGAAGATGGCGAAGAAGGTATTTGGGTTTTACCTTAACACGGCATTAGTACATACGTTTACCGGCAAGGTCCAGAAGATGAAATCGTAACATGAAATGATAGGGATGACGACAGGAATGAAAATTAAAAATCTAATTAGTCCGTCAGTTAGGTAATGGAAACATATTAGACACGTATTTTTTTATTGTTTGTAACATTTAACTTTATTATTCCATATACTTATTTACTTTTCTCTAAAATTACATCTTTAATACCACTTAACATAACCAGTAACGGGATCATGGTCCAAGCCACCGATGGTTAGGGCTCCAAAGACAGAAACCTCCTCACGATACGTGCCGTTTCAAGGAGAACTGCCTTCTGTATCAGGTCCTTAATCTTTCTACCTAACGCCAAATGAATGTCGAGGCTTTTAGGGTTTTAACCTATTGGTATCATTATGATAGCCGAATCCACACTCCACATGTCGACGACCTCGAGAGCTAAGTCTAGATATTTTATTTGTTTATCTTTCTCAGCTTTCACGAGGTTTTCGTCATGGGGAATGGTGACATCGATTATCATCGTGTGGCGTGTAGTTAACTCTATTTTTATTATAACATTTAACTTAGCACGCCAAAAACAGTAGGCGATGTATGCTATCAAACTACGTGCAGATAAATGTTCTGATTCTTAAGCCTTCAATATAACATTGCACGCCTAAATTAAACAGGTCCAACTCAAAAAAGCAGTTTTTTTCAGAAAAGGCAAAATACAGATTACCGTTTCACTATGCACTGCAGGACTTTCCTGTTTAGATATATGGTTTACAAGTGTAGATGGACGAAAGATGCTATAAGAATTTTGTGATTTAGTCATGTATTGTGGCTGAAATAAAAGATTTTCCTGTTTTGGGGCTGGGCTTCTGATAATATCTAGCGTCGAATAGTGGAAACTTTTTTAAATTTGTTTTGTTGGTTGGTATGTAGTAAAGTAAGGAATAGGCATGGCGACTATTTTTTAATTTTTTGTCCGTCTTTTAGATATTTTAAAAATCGTCGATACGTATTTTTTCTTTTTTCTCGTATCCAAAAAAACATGTAGATATTTTGAGTTAAAATGACGCGTGACGTCACACTTAGGTACGATTTCTCCGTAAGTGTGACGTCAACACCCCCCACTCCCTAACTTTAATACGAAATAACTACGTATTCTTCTGTTAATTTGATAAAACAAAAAATACGTGTCTGATATTTTCGTGCGATCTTAATGACGGACTAATTACTTTTTTGATTTTTTTACCCTGTCGACACACCTATTCGATGGTGTGCATAACTTAAAAATCTAAATTTTTGAGTTAGCTCCCTTTAGATCTAGTTGTGCGACATATCCTTTTGTTTAACAAAAAGATTAGTATCTTTAAATGGTCAAAATGGTTCTACCCATCCCTCAGTTCCACAAGACATTATTGTTCTATAGACAAAGGGTTCGGATAATATGTTCTAACGACTACCCCATTTAAAATGTTATTTTAATACAAGTAATACAAGTAATTATGGTATTTTTTCATTGTGTAGAGAATGCACTTAGGTAAGCTGACCGCAGTCAGTGGGTCAGTCAGTTCGTGAGTCGCTTCCAAGGTGGACGTACCTAGAATCAGTCTTTCCGACCAAACTGAGAGAAGAACAACATATTTCGGTAAGTTTTTATAAACTATCCTGAGACATACTAAATTAACTTTACTCACGTGAATATACTGAGAAAAGCTCTACTAGTTTCGAGTCATAGAGGAGTTCTTCCTCATGAGAGAAGGAGAGCTTTTCTCAGTATATTCACGTGATTAACCCGCGTTTTTACTTAATATTTCGGTAAGTTGTTATATCGTCTATTATCTTCTGCCTCTGGTTCAAATTTCATCCCAGTAACCAGGTACCCAGTGTTGTGCTTAAGATATTAAAGTATAATCATACCAAGTTTGATTAAAATCGGGCCGGTAGTTTTTGCGTAATGCGTGGACATACATACAGACAAGCAGACAGACAGGCAAACAGACAAAAATTTATTTAATGACATTATTGGGTTCGGTGTCTATCTAGTAACACCCCCTACTATTTATTTTATTAATACTTTCAATGTACAGAATTTAAAATTCTACAGTTTTATTATATGTATAGATTATACATTATTCGCGCGGTTACACAGCTCGGTCCCTATTGACTGTAGCGTGGTGTTTATATAGCCTCCCTCGATAGACGGACTGTCCAACAAAACAGTCTTTTCTTTTCGAAATATTAAACAACATATTTTGTAACAATTAACAAACATTAAATTACATTACTAAATGAAATGTAATTGGGTAGTTTCCAGGGTATCAAAATTAAAAATCTAATTAGTCCGTCAGTTAGATAATGAAAACCTATTAGACACGTATTTTTTATTTTCTCACAAAATTAAATTTAGGAAACTACCCTATCACATATACGATATAATTTCGATATTTACACTATAAAAATATTTAATTACCTATAAGATTAAAAAAATTAACATCATAAATATAAATAACTAAAATAATGACACCTTGAAATTACCTTAAATAAAAAGTAATTATGTAATTATATATTTAATGATAATTTATCAGTAATCGCCTCATTATAAATAATGTTTAATGACATATTTGTGTATAAAAGAAATGAAAGACTAATTATAGTAAGAAAAAAGTAACAATTATAATACAAGCCCAATCTAACACGGTGAATATATCATAATTATAAACTTTAATATCATCATCATACCATAACGCCATTTATCCCCGAAGGGGTAGGCAGAGGTGCACATTACGGCACTTAATGCCACTGTACAATAAAACACCCACTTTTCAGACACCGAGCTTTTTTAAACCCAGTAATACTTTGCCCGACCCGGGAATTAAGACCCCGTGCCTGACAGTCGCACACGCGACCCTCGCACCCGCGTCCTCATTCACTTCACTGACGGACTGACTGACAGACTATTATTTATTTTGTATTTGTTGACGTTTCAAAAGTACCAAATTATGGTTTAATTGAAATAAATGCTTTGACTTTGAACACTCGGCCAATGAGACAATATTAATTTTAATAAGTATTTTTCTTGCAGAAATGATATCGGAAAGAATTCACGTATTTGAGGACACGGAGGTCGAGGATCAGTATGCGCTGGGTGATATTGGCACACTGGAAGATGTAAGTAACAATTATAATTTTAATATATCTATAATTACTTCTATGTGTCATTGTGGCTGGGGTTGGGGACAGTTTAAAACTGTCAAACACCAAGCGGTCACCGGTGACCGCAACCTATTGTCCTATAATTGAGTCTGCAAAACCGGTACTCGACGAGTTAAGACGCCTACTTCTCATAGTTTGTACTTATATGTACTTTCTAAGATTATTTAGATACCACTATTACCACTGACAAACAGTGAAGGATAATCCTTAGTTATATTATAAATCGGAAAGTGAGTTTGTTTGTTTGTTCCGCTTTCACGCCGAAACTACTAAACCGATTGCTTTGAAATTTTGCAGACGTAAAATTATAAGTCTGGATTAAATAATAGGGTACTTTTTATCCTGGAAAAATTTGATATTCCCGAGGGAAAACAAAAATATTGGTATAGATGGCGCTGTGTGTATTGGTATAGATGGCGCTGTATGTCATTTAAACCTTGAATTATCTACTTATTGGAAAAATCTAAATAGCGCGACATAACCGAATTCCACGCGAGCGGAAAGCTATTTGTTTGTTTGCCTGTCTAAAACGGCAGAACGGAGGTACTAATTAACGTGATTTTTTAACTGAACGTAGTTAAAGGTATGGATAATCACATAGGCCACTTTTTATCCTTTTGTGACGCGAGCGAAGCCGCGAGTAAAAGCTAGTTTCTAATAATAAGTTTGAAATTGCCCCCGCCTTGAGCAAGTGTGGTGATTAATGCTCAAACCATCTCCGTGTGAGAAGAGGCCTTTGCTAGACAGTGGGCACTTATGGTCGGATACCTTCTATGAGTTTTGTTTCAAATATAACTTAACTAGCGACCCGCCCCGGCTTCGCACGGGTGCAATATGCATGTATTATACATACAAACCTTCCTTAAGAATCACTCTATCTATTAAAAAAACCGCATCAAAATCCGTTGCGTAGTTTTAAAGATCTAAGCATACATACGGACATACAGCGAAAGCGACTTTGTTTTATACTATGTATTAATGACGTCATCATGGTCTGTGTACCACGAACATGAAGTATATTGAAACTATTTTAGACTATTATTGTATGGAAATGTCGAAATAATGTATTTATTACTGAGTAAAATGTTCTGTTAATATTACTCGACATTTATTTCATTTATTTATGGCATAAGCCGGTATACGAGCAGACGAATCACCTGATGGTAAGCAATCGGCGTCGTCCATGGACACACGGAACACCAGAGGCGTTACAAGTGCGTTACCGGATTTTTGGGGATTAGGAATTTGAGGATCGATGGGGATTCACGGATTGGGGAAGGGGAGAGTAATTGGGCATCCGGTAACCTCACTCACACGACGAAACACAACGCAAGCGTTGCTTCACGTCGGTTTTCTGTTCGGCCGTGGTATCACTCCGGTCGAGTCAGCTCATTCGTGCCGAAGCATGGCTCTCCCACACGATTTAACTCGTCGAGTACCGTCATTATAGACACAATTATAGAACAATAGGTTGCGGTCACCGGTGTCCTCGCGGTGCTTGACAGTTTAATGAAGTTATTTCTACAAGCTCTATTTTTGCATGCGTGTGTGTGTATGTGTGTGTGTGAGAGGGTGTGTGTGTGTGTGTGTTACCTTCAACGGATTGAGCTGAAATTCACGTATACTCGTTTAGTTTGCATGACAATAAACGCTTAGCTGTGTACAAGCTTTTTAATTTCAAATAATTTGTTTGCATCCAGGACTTCATTGAAGAAGAAAATGAAGAAGACGATGTCAACGAACAAGAGTTTAATAATGAGTATGAAGTTATGTCGACCATAGTGCGGGAAGGTGGCAATAATGCTGGACAAGATCCCAGGTCTTCCACCAATGGCTGGCTGTCACCAGAACCTCCCGAGTGCCATAGATTTATGGGATTAACCACGTAAGTTTTTTTTTTCGGATAAATCTGTAGACGAGCTGACGGATCACCTGACGATAAGCAATCGGTACCGCCCATGGACACCTGGACCACCAGAGATGTTACAAGAGCGTTGGCGGCCTTTTAGGGATTAGGAATTTGAGGATTATTGGCGACGAAACACAACGCTGTGGTTGTTTCACTATGGTTTTCTGCTCGTTGGTTGTATCACTCCGGTCGAGCGCCCAGCAGTGCCGAAAGGCCGAAACATTGCTCTCCTATATTTAATCCAACCATCCATCGTGTGCAGACACTGTACAATGTAACGCCCAATTTCCACAATTTATGTTATGAGTCCCATGTAATAGGGGGTGAGCCTATTGCCATATACCGGGCACAATTCCAGACTCCGTGCTACTACTGAAACTTTGACTTTTAAAAATCTAGTAATACTTTGCCCGACCCGGGTATCGAATCCGAGACCCCTTGCCTGGCAGTCGCACTTGCGACTACTCGGCCAACGAGGCAGTCATTATAGTATATTTATTTATTATTTATTTTTTCCAGGTGTGTGAATCGGGACGGTACAGTTTACGTGCGTGATATAGTACGGGCACAACAACTGATACCCATCACTATATCACTCGCCGAGCATTACAAGGACTACTCACAGAACGAAACAATCACTGACTGGACACCGGGACAGTCATGCGTCGTCTACGATAGCAGAAGGAATCTGTATTTAAGATCCATAATCAAGAAAGTGGATACAGAAAATAGGACGTGTACTGTTGAGTACATTGATTACGGCAATATAAACGAACATGTCTTTGAGGACCTACGAAGAGGTACTCCGACGCGGCACATACCTGCCCTTGCTCAGACATGTTCCATTTATAATTTAAATCCCGTGGGAGGCACCTGGACTGGTGAAGCCATCGACTACATGAACGAACACATCGTAGGCCGAGTATGGGACATACGCATCTGTGGTTTAGTATTCACAGGTCAATCTATTAATTTCTTAATTGATTTAGTAGGTGATGCAATTTGGGCTAGCTGCCTGCCGAGAGATTTAGTGGACCATATATACTACGCGTCCTACATCCATCACCCGAGCGCGGTCCTTCGGTCTAATCGTCCACGTTTGTAGGGAGTGAGTCATGTACCGTCGTGGTGGCCCGGAGGTCTAAGACGCCCGCATCTCATGCATGTTCCAAACCTACCAACGGCAAGTACCAATGTGACTTGTTCCGAGTTATATGTACTTTCTAAGATTATTTAGACACCACTGACAAACGCAAGTACCCAATTGTTGTTCAGGGTCTGTGTGTCAGGCTTATGTCAAAGTCAAAGTCAAAGCATTTATTTCAATTAAACCATAGTTTGGTACTTTTGAAACGTCAACAAATACAAAAAAAATAATAGTCTGTCAGTCAGTCCGTCAGTGAAATTAGGTGAAGCTAGGTGCTCATTCCAAAACGTAGATTCGAATGGAGAAGAACGAGCAAGAAACTCCATTCGTTACTCTTTTTAAAAAAAGTATGTTCTACAATGTCTCTGTGATATTGTATGTAAATGGACACACGACACAGGAGATAACCCCAATTTGGGGCAACATTTATTAAAAAGAAAAGAAAGAGAAAGAATTCTATACCGGTTTCAGTCAGTCAATTGACTGGGTTAATTAAAAGTCGCGGGTTACACGCGGTCGCGGCGCGAAGAACTCCTGTGGTTCGAAACTAGTAGATCTTTTCTCAATATATTCACGTGAGTAACCCGCGATTTTTAGTTAATGTAGTGTCTCACGATAGTTTCTATGAAAAGTTAGTCAAATGTCTTGTATGATTGTGTCATGTATAAAGAAATGATTGTAAAAATATATGTTAAGTGTACTTTTTAACAATTAGTTCATAAGTTAAATAAAAACCAAATACTATAATTTTTAATTTAAATGTTGACCATGTTTTCCTCGGTACCAGTTAAGGTCATCTCATAGAGCACGGCTCCAACCCAGCCATTAAGTTGTCATTTAAATATGAACTTTAAATCATATGTCGTGTGATACATTACGTAACGTCAATACAAAGCGGTCCGCCGAGGTGTAGTCGAGGTCGAGTCGCGCCGGAGCCGAGCTTTACATGTGGGATGACGTTCAGTTGTAACTCACTCAGCGTGTACATTGCGACTTTATTCGTCTTACGAAACATGTCCACACATTGTATATGCCTAACTTCTGCGCGAGGTTTTTGTCGATACTGTCTTATCCGCCGTCTGTCTGTCTATATGTATGCTTAGATTTTTAAAACTACGTAACGGATTGTGATGCGGTTTTTTTAATAGATAGAGTGATTTTTAAGGAAGGTTTGTGTGTTTAATGAAGGATAGAGGATGGGGGTTGGGGGATAGCGGATGGGTGTCGGGGATGGGACATGAGGGAAGGGGACGAGGGCCGCGGTATGTGATATTGAGGGGATGATTGTGTGTGTAGTGTAGTCGTGCGTGGCGCGAGGTACCCTCGGTCCCCGCGTGAGACGAGTGAGTGACGGACCTGCCTGTAGACGGCGGCGGTGTCGGCGGCGTGCGCGGCCAGGGCGCGCGCGGCGGCCGGCGTGGCGCGCAG